ATAAAGGTAAGAGAGCCCCCACGATAGGAGGCACTCGGAGGGCACCCCGTGTTCTCTGAGGCATGGTCTTGGGGGTCCTCGATCATGCCGGCATGGCTAGGGAGGCACCTGGCACCCCCAGGGCCTCCAGGCCTGTGGCCAGCAGCGGCTGCTCTGTGCCGTGCAGACTGGACTGCGGTGGTGGCTGTGAAATGTCAGACCAAACACCCCCTCCTGCCACTCATTCTCCAGGGCAGGCAGGGCACCAGCATCCCAACCTCGGATTTCAAAGTGGAGAGAGCACTTGACTCAGTTCAGGCTGTCTCTGTGCCAGCCACAAACCCGCGCCATCCTTCATCCCTGAGGCCCGTCCCGAGGCCACTGAGGGTGCTCTCTGAGCTGAGCCCGGGGGAACTTGCACTCTCCGGGGATGGGGTCCCGGCTCACCAACCACACCCTAGACGCCCAGGAGCCCAGTCCCTTTGGACGCTCCACCAGCCGCTGCAGAAAGACGCTCCACAAAATTCAGCAGCTGCTAGTGACAAGGGTGCCTGTCAAACCAGGGGCAGAGCGGTGGGCAGAGGGGCTCCAGGCTCCAGGGCAGACAGCGTCTCCACATGGACGCCGCAGAAGCTCTGCGCTTTCTCCCTCAGCACAAGATCCACTTTCCAGGTGAGGCGGTGGAAGGACGATGTGTGGACAGAGGAAACTCAGGAGGGGTGCAGACTGCCAACGGCCGTTCTCTGTTCCCAAAGCACTTCTCCGCCGAGAGGGGCCGCTCAGACCCACCGCCCGGGACTCGGGGCCCCGCTCAACGAAGCCCCCTCCTGCTCGGGTGGCTCCTCTTTCACCCGTCCAGCCGTCCACTCTGCCCAACACTTAGACCCTCAAGTTCACCCGCATGCCAGGGGCCCAGGGACTTGGAGGCCCCACACAGTCTCTGGGGAAACAGCATCAAATCAACATATTTTCTTCTTGTTACTTATTTTTTATTTCGGTACAACTCACAAAAAGCGCAGAGCGCCAGAGTGCAGCTCGGTGAGTCGTCACAGCAAACCCAGGCGAGAGCGCCGCCCCGAAGGCCCTGTGCGCCCCAACCACCCCCGTCTCCCCGCAGGCAGGCAGGCAGGCTCTGACTTCCAACGGATCTTTCAGCCTGTTGACCTGCTTCCACCCGGGAGCGTCACCGGCTGTCGATGTCAGCCGTGAGCCGTCGTGCAACGGTCCTACACATCTCCGTCCACGGGCGACGCGGGGGTTGCCTCCTGCTCGGGTCTCCTGGGGCTCGTGTGCAGGCATCTCCGTGGGGACACACCTAGCAGAGCGTCGGGCACATCCAGGGGCTTCCATGGGCAACGCAAATGGCTTTCCAACGTCTTTGGCGTCCCAGGTGGCACCCCTGCCCAGAGTGTCGAGATCAGGTTCTTCCACGTCCTCGACATGACTGACGTGATCAGTCCTTTTATTTTCAGCCATTCTGGAGCGCTAGGGGGTGGGGTGTTGTGGGATCTCATTATAATTTTCATTTTCATTTCCCTGACCACTAATGGGGTTGAACATCTTTTTGTGGTTTGGGCCATCAGGTGGCCTGCTTGTCAAGCAACGACTCAAGTCTTCTGGTCATTTTTCTATTGGAGCATCTTTTTCTTATTGACTGTTAGGTGCTCTTTACACATTCCAGATAGGAGCCCTTGGCTATTAATAGTTTATCTTCATTGCCCAGCAACTGAGTTTTCCACCCACTTAACGGTGTCCTGCAATGAGTGGGGTTCTTAATTTCCATTCAGTCCAATTTAGTGGACTTCCCCTCAGTGGGCAGTGGCTTTTGGGTCCTGTCTCGGCAGGTTTTCTCCCCAAGGTCATGAGGCACGCTCCAAACCCTCTTCCCGTCCTGAAGCTCTCATTCTGCCTTTCACATCCGAATCGACAAACCGCTGAGCTGGACATTTCTGCTTTTTCCTGCAGATCCGCCCTGACCCTCTCCACCCCGTTCCACGTCCCCACGGCTGCAGCAACCAGCAGCTTCCAGCTGGACTTGGCCAAAGGGAGGCCCCACAGGGAGCAGCAGGAGGGGCTGGGGTATTTATAGCCGCCCTGTCCCTCCGGGCCGTGTCCTTCTGGGGGCCCTGCGCACAGCTGCAGCTGTCTACCAACCACCCCCCTCGGCCCTCAAGCCCAGGGCAGTAACCGCTGCTTTTGTCGGCCTCTCCCAACCCTTCCCACAGCTTCGTCATGAGCTCTTTCCCCAAACTCTCTTCAATTGTCCCCTTGTGGGGGCCGCCTGTTCCTGAGGGGACTTTGGCCACATCCTGCTGTATGTGCATCCTGTGGCTGCTGTAATGAAGGACCACAGACTGGGGGCTGAAACACCAGACATCTCTCCTCTCCCGTTCTGGAGGCCAGAAGTCCCGAGTCAAGGTGTCACAGGGCCATGCTCCCTGGAGGTTCTAGGGGAGGGTCCTTCCGGTCTCTCCCAGCTGCTGGGGGCTGCCGTCAACCCCTGGCTTGTGGCCACATTCCTCCAACCTCTGCTCTGTGGTCACTTGACCACATCTTCACCCGTTCCCCAGGCATGTCTGTGTCCCAATTTCCCCTTTATAAGGACACTTGTCATACTGGATTGGCTCACCAGAATGACCTCATCTTACCTTGATGAAATCTGCAAAGGGCCCACCTCCAAACAAGGTCGAATTCTGAGGTCCGGGGGTTGGAACTTCACCCCGTTGCTGGGTGGGGCACAATTCAACACAGGACGCTGTTGGAGTCCACCTCTGTGTCTGGTGTCAGGTTAGGGCCCAGGTTCACTGTTGTCCTAAGGGGCGTCCCACCGACCCGGCACCTGGTACTAAAGGGCTGTCTTTTAGCCCATTTCTCTGCAGTGTCATCTTCACCACGATAAGTGCCTGCGCACATGAGGGTCTGTTCCATCCTCTTTTGTCCTTCAGTTCATTTCTTTCTTTGCTTTGTGGCGACACCACACTGCTTTGTTACTAAGCTTTACAGTAAGAACAGATGTCTGACAGAGCAAATCCTTCCAAACTGAACTTCTGAAGTGTCTTGGCCGTTTTTAACTCTCAGCGTCTTCACACGTTTTAGAATCAGTTTGTAAACGTGCACAAGACACACATACTATTGGAATTTTGATCAGGAGCTTATTGATCTTAGGGGAACAACGGACATTCTTATAGCACTGAGGCTACCAATCCACGGACATGGCGTATGAATTTATTTAGTCTTAATTTCTCAATACAAGCTTATAGCTCTCTGTGCAGAAGGCTCCACAATATTTTGTTGGACTTAGTCCTACTTGATTTTTTTTACTGAATTGCAAATAAAGTCTCGCCAAATTTCGTTTCCTACTTACGCATTGCTCACATATAGAAACAGTTTATTTTGTGTATGGATCCTGTAGTCACTCACCTTCCTAAACTCACGCGCACATCAGCATCATTATCTGCAGGTTCCCTTGATATTCTCCACACAGAATCACATCCACGGACGCCTCAAGTTTATCGCTTTCTTGTAAATCCTTCCGGCTTTCGCTTCTTCTCTTCCCCCCGACCAGAAGGACCAGCCAGCCCCACGTACGTTCCAGGGCAGCTGCAGCAGTGGGCCCCAACCTTGTTCTCCAGCCTAGCAGGGAAGTTTTGGCACTTCCCCATGACGTGGGACGGTGCTCTGCGTATTTGGTAATCCCCCTCAATCAGATTAAGGAAGTTTCCTTTTATGTCTAGAGTGCTGTGAGTTTTTATCATAAATAGTTGCTGAGTTCTATCCAATGCCTTTTCTGCAGCTACAGTGATGATCACAGGGTTTTTCCCCCACCTATGAAGGTGATGAAATATACTGAGGGATTCACAATTGCAAACCAACCTTGCACGTCTGGATTAAGCTCTCCAAGGCTGTAATGCATCATCCTTTTCATATGTTGCTGAACTCGCTGTATCATGTGTATTTGGGGTTCTTGGGCCCACATTCTTGGGTGAGTGTGACCTGTAATGGTTCCTTCCCAGTAACGGTCCTTGTCGGGTTTTGTATCAGGTGCAGAAGCTGCGATGAGAAGGGACTGCAAGGCATGAGGGTGGGAGGGAGGACAGCAGCACGCGGCTGCGGCTTCAGTGGAGGCTGGAGGTGGCTGGAGATGGGGGGCCCCACATGAGCAACTTCACGGAGTCTAGAAATGAGGCGGCAGCCGGCAGGCAGGTAAAGTCGTCACAGCCACTTTCAAGATGAGAAGGCAGAGGCTCAGAGCATCTAAGGACACAGGCCCGTGGGGCGGGGCCAGCTCTGGAGCCTGTGCTTGCTCTCACCTGTTCCGTGACCATCAGCCCTGCGGGTCTCTGTGCAGCACAAGGAGTTCAGAATTCAACCAGTTCCAGTCACCCAGCAGGGGAGGGGCTCTGGAAACGGACCAGAGTTGACCAGAGGGCACACCTGGCTCCCGGCTGCCCCTCACTCCTCGTCTCCCAGGACTGAGGCCTCACCTTGCTCTGCCCACACAAGTGGTTTTGGGAGAAGGCCTGGCAGTGTGGTCCAAGCCTATTTCACCGAGCCACTACGGTCCCTAAAACCAGGGGCGGGGGCCCCCTGTGTGGCTTTGAGCACTCAGGCTCCCCTGGGACCACCTGCCGCGTCCCAGGATGCCACATCCGAGCCACACAAATATTTGGTGGCCATCTGGAGGGAGACCTCAAGGCCGCCTGGTCCGCCACGTCAGCAAGGAGCTCGTGACTTGATTACTAGTGGGAACACGAGGATCCTGGACGCCAGCCCAGGCGGGCACGGCCTGTTGTTCTTGGAAACAGCATGACTGCCAACACGGATGGGCAGGGGGTTTGTGGACAAGTCGCAAAGTGGCCATTGTTGGCTGCAGCCTCAACTAATAGACGGTAATTGTAGTGAACAGGAGGGGACCAGTGACAGCCTGCCACGTGGCCAGGAACCCTCTCCTGGCAGAGGACAAAAGAGCCACCGTCAAGGGCTCAGAACCCTTGTCTGAGGTGCCACTGGTCTCCCTCAGCCACTCCTGCCTGACCATGAACCTCCTGTTGCTGGCCATGGGGCTGATTCTGCTCGGCGGCCCCCACGCCCTGCACATGGGCCCTGGGGACCCCAACTTCGATGAGAAGCTGGTATCTGCCTTGGGCATCTGAGTGGGAGGAGGTGGCTGGGGGCAGCAGTGAGCAGGGACAGGACAGGGCGCACCCCTCCCAGCCCCAGCTGCACCCTCGCCTGCACCAACACACCCACTTCTGCTCGGAAGGTCAAGGGCAAGTGGTTCTCGGTGGCGCTGGCCTCTAATGAGCCGAAATTCATAGCGAAGGACACGGACATGAAGTTCTTCATCCACAAGATCCAGGTGACCCCTGAGAGCCTGCAGTTCCACTTCCACAGAAAGTAAGTCTGGGAGGCGGGTGCCAGACGGGGCCGAGGCCCAGGTGAGCCCCCAGGGCCCCCGTTCCCTGCCCACCTCACGGCCTTCTTCCAGGGTTTTGGAGGGTAAGGGGGGATGCTCAGGCCAGAGGTGATGTGGGACAGGGCCGGGACACAGTGTCCAAGGTCCAGTGTGGCCGAGCTCCATCCAGTGCCACCAAGGGGCTCCACAGGGAATGCCCGAGCCACGCCTTCTGGACCCCAGGTTGCATGGGGGTTGTCATCCTCTCCCAGGGTAAGAGGTATGTGTGTCCCAACTATGATGACGGCTCACAAAACGAAAAAGAAGTTTCAGTACACAGTGAACCGTGAGTACCAACGGTCAGCGTTGTCCAGCCTGGGAGCAGGGAGCCCCCTGGGAGCTTGGGGTGCAGTACGGCCAGGAGCTCAGCCTCCTGCCTCACAGGACAGTGTCCCCCCGCTGGCCATGGCACCCCCGTGGGCACTGTCTGCTGTGGGTGGGCAGAATGCACTGGCAGAGGTGTCTGGGAAGGGTGGGAGGCCTGCATACAGTCCTGCCCCTGCCCGGGGCCTGGCTGGTCACTAGGAGCAAGTCGTCAGCCGCGGGAAGGGATGGGAGGGGTCCCAGGGTCCGGTCCTGGCCTGGTCGAGAATTCTGCACCCCCTCGCCTCCCGCCCCACCCCCACCCCCGATTCACAGATTCCGGCCACAAGACGATCTTCCTGGAGAAAGTGGACCCAAAGCACTTCGTCATATTCTGCGCCCACAGCATGAAGCACGGGAAGGAGACGGTGGTGGTGACCCTCTTCAGTGAGTGCCCCCTGGAGTCCCCCACCGCCTGCACTCACACAGACTTCACCCCACGCCCTCCCGGCCAAGGGAAAGGGCAGGGCCAGCCCCACCCCAGGCCCCTGTGGGTCCTCAGGGTGGACGCTGGGCAGGAGCCCGCAGGAGACACAGGGACCCCAGCCACCCCGAGGCCATCTGGGAACAGGAGTCATAAATATCAGATAAATACATGAAATGTACACGAGCCAGTATCTCAAATAGATCCCAACCTCCTCATCTTCTTGAGAATCAAAAATAGACATTAAGGAAAATTCCAGGAACTCCTGATTGCCTTGACTCCCACGTGAGAGTGAAGGTTGTGCAGGTCCTCGCGTCCTGCCTGGGACACATGGCTGGAGAGTCACATCCCCGTACCCGCTCCCCCCACCACCCCCACCACCCCCACCACCCTTCAAGGGCCCCGGTCTCCAGGAACAACAAGGTGGAGACAGGCGAGGCCCCGTGTGCGAGCCTTCCTCTCTCCCTTCAGAGATGGCGGGGTCCTGGGTTTGGGGGTGAAGTGTCCTTTCTCTGTGAAATTGCAGAGTTGGGACACGGGGGCCTGTTAAAATGTCTGTAATTTAGGAGATGTACAGGCTGGCCACCTCACACTGGGTGTGAAAAGTTTAAGGGCTCTTAGTTGGACTTCAATGACCACTGGGGTTCAGAGGCAGAATCAAGGTGTGGCTCTCGAGGTTGGTTCCTTCCACCCTCCTGCCCCTCCCAGCTCCCTGGTATCCCCGCTGACCCTGGGCCGTGGCCACATCACCCACCTCCATCTTCACATGGCTTCTCCTCTGTGTCTTGAATCTCCCTCCTCTTTTTCTTATAAGGACACTTGTCATTAAATGTAGGGCCCACCCTGAATCCAGGATGACCTCCTCATCCCAGGACCCTTAACTTAACCTCAGCTGCAAAGGCGCTGTTTCCACAGAAGGTCCCTGTCCCAGGTTCCGGGGCTAAAGATTTCGACACATCCCTTTGGTGGACCCAATTCAACCCGCTGTAGGCAGCATTGTTAAGACAACCTCATTTAGTAAATGTACAGGCTGGAGAACCTACGCTGGGCCCCCAAACCTGCCGGGCTGGTTGGGCGGTTTGCACTGGCGCACAAGGTCCAAACATCCAGGGACCCGTGGCTGTACCCAGGCCTCGATTCTGGCTCAGCACTTAGTGTATGAGGACAACTTCTCAGGTCCTCTCCAGCATCTGACCCCACACCACTGAGAGCCCAGTTGTCTACGTGAAGGGGCAGGGGTCACTGCTCCACAGCCGCCTTATGGAGAGCCGCCGGCAGCCCTGGGCCCAAAGCTCTTTGCATCTGCTCCGTGGGGTGTTGGTGCTCAGGGCTGGGCTCACAGGACATGCAGACTGGGTACCCACGTGCTGTCACGGCTCTTCCAAAGACGGCTGTCCGTCGGTTTGCCTGCCTTGAAACAAGCTTGTCAAGGACCAGGACACCTGCAGACTCTCCTTGGGCCCACCCCTTTATCCCAGTGTGGAATAAACACACGGGGACAGTGATGCCAGGACCCAAGGAGAGGCCAGACCCCAGGCAGGATGTCGAGCGAGCTCTGTGCTGTCCTCGCCTCCTCAATGACCCAGCATGGGGCCATCTGGGCCCAGCTCTCCACCCTGCTCACGGCAGCTCCTGTCCCCACGACCACACCTGTACCCCGAAAATCCAGGGCAGTCTCCAAGCCCACAGAACTCCGCTGCCCGTTGTCCCAAATAACCAGCAAGAGGGACAGCCGCATCACTCTGTCCACAGGCCGGACCCCTACCGTGAGCCCGGATGTCATGTGGATGTTTAAGAAGTACTGTAAAACCCACGGGATTCACGCAAGCAACATCGTTGATCTGACCCAAACTGGTAGGTGCCCAGCCCCTGCCAGCTGCAGGAGGCCGAGGGGCTTGGCTCCGACGTCTGCTCAGCACATCCTGCTCCTCTTTGCTCCTCTCTCCACAGATCGGTGCCTCCACGCCCGCCACTAGGTGGGCCAAGGGTCCAGGTGGGTGACCTCTGACCCTGTGAGGGTAGCAGCAGGTGGGGCCCTAGATGGGCATGGTTGGGGTAGGGGGGCCCTTGGGAGACAGGCGGCAGGTGCCGGCAAGGAGCTGATGGCTCAGAGATTCAAAACACCAGTGCCACAGGCAGGACTCAACGCTGTCCCGCCCACCGAGTCCTCCGCAGACCCACGTGGACGGGCCTGCCGGGGGCAGCAGGGGCCTGTGGACAGGCTGAGGGTAGGTCTACAGAAGCAGGGCTGTGGGACAGCAGGTTGCAAGCTGACACACGGCCCCAGTCTCTCGCCCGGAGGAGGGCCGGGGGCAGCGAGGAGATTGGACCCAGCTCTCGGGAAGGTGCCCCCACTCCTCCCACAGGTCTGCCCCACTTGCCCCACCCCCAGCCCTGAACCTGCCGTGACCCCTCCTGCTCACAGGGGCGTCTCCCAGGCGCTGTGCCACCCTCCCCAAAGGACCAGAAAATTGAAGTCAACCCAAGGAGCCTTCAGCTGCCCTGCCCCCTAGGAAGCCCTCCTGGACACCCCTCCCCGTGGAGCCCAATAAACGACTGACTCCAGACCAGGCGTGTTCTGTGTGGGTGTGCTTCACCCCAGACCACGAGCTCAGCCGGTGACCTAACGGTGGCCAGGAGCTGCCCAATGACACCTCATCCTGGGGCCAGGGCCGCTGGGGCCGGGGGGATGGGGACCCTCCTGGTGAGACCTCACCACCATGGGCTCATGTCCACATGGTTTGAGGAAGATAGTTCACCAGGATGCCGTTCAGAGGGCAATGACAGGAGACAGTGCCAGGAGGGCGTGAGGCCGGACCCCACAGCCACCCTGGTCCCCTCAGTGTCGGCTGCAAGCAGTGGCGGTCCCAGGGCTCGCCACTTGGTGGTGACAGCAGGGGGGTCTCCCCTGGCAGACAGCAACAGCTCTGGTCGGGGCAGCAGGCTGAGCCTGTCCAGCTTTGTCACTCGATTCCAGGCTGGACCCAGCTCAGGGGGCCTTTCTGACCACATGCTCAAAACCCCTCTAAATGACAGTGGCTGAGGCCCTGAGGGCAGGGACAGTCGCTGGGCAGGCAGCAGGGGACATTACCCCTCCCGAATCACCCAAGCCTGGTGAGCGCCAGCCTGCAGCCTCCCTCCAATGCACACAGTGCACAGCCAGGACTCCCACCACCCCAAGCCGCAGCCCAGAAGGCCGGCCTGAGCCCCCAGACTCCCCCTCCACGGGAGCCCAGCGTTGGCGAGGCCCCCCACCCCAGAATGGACAAGCTCCTTCAGGCCATGCATCAAGGCCACTCCTGCCCTGGGGCAGGGGGCTCTCTCCAGTGGCTGAAGGCCCCCCAGGCAGTCCCTCATAGCAAGCTCTGCCATGTGGCACCAAGATGAGTGTCAGCCCTGCATGAGGGGGAGCTGGCCACACTGTCCCTTGGTCAGAGAAGGAAACCACCCGCCACACACATGGCTGGGACACAGCTCCCAGCCCCTGGAACCCACCCCAGGCCACAGGTCAGCACCTGGGGCGGCTCCGACCTGGCCCACTCTGCCTGGCTCCCTCAGACACTCCGTCCCCACCCCTGCCTCCTCCATCAGAAGCCCGTGTCCCCTGTATCTGCCTCACTTCTCCCCCTGTAAGTGCCAGGGCCTCCTTGACATTGCGCTGCTGCCAACTCTCGCAGCCCCAGGGCCCCAGATCATCTGGTAGCCGAGTCTCTATCCTCATCTGCCTCCATCTCTCCGAGGGCGGCAGCAGTCACGTTCCCACTGGCTGGACAGCCCGGGCGGCCCTCCGTGCCCCACCTCTCCTTCCTGCATCCTTTGTAGCCCCACCCCTGGTCCACCCCATGGGCACCCTGGGCTACCGCCTGTTGGGGTCCTGGTCTGGGGGTACCCTGTCTGCTCCTTGTCTCTTCAACTCAGCACAAGCCACTCTCACCAGAGCCCCCGGCCCCCACCCTCTTCCTTTCTCCCCAGAAGGCTCTTTGTCCCTGTGCCCCATGGACCATCCCAACCTTGGCTTCCCACCCTCACTATACCAACCTGGGTCCCCTCAGGGGGCCACAGGACCTGTAGGTCCCTCCCCCACCCACCCATTCCCCTGCCCAGGGGTCTGTGGTTGGGGTCTGGCCTCTCCTGGGGGACGGAGCACCTGGAGGACAGGGGAAAAGTCAGTGAGTGGACAGTGATTTCCGGTTTACTCTGGAGAAATGAGTCCCCTTCCCCGGCCTGGCACCAAGGCGGCCTCTTGGGACAGTTCTCGAGCTGAATAAATGTCCAGTTGACTCCAAGGCCTGTTTGCAGGTCACTGACCATCCCTCCTTGTGTGACTCCTTTACGGGTCATGTCCCTGTTCTGAGCACATGCTGTGCCCCAGGACCCCAGTAGGGCACCACCCACCGGACAATGCCCCTCTCCCTCCCAGGACCCCCAGCTTTGCCTGCAGCCTCAGGACGCGCCTGCCCACCCGGCAGACGGCAGCGGAGCAATTCTACCACCCATGGACATGGCCACTTTGCTCAGTCCTGGGCGCATAAAGGGGTGGCAGACGCCCGTCACTGTTTGTCCTCCTAACTTGAATTCCCCGCCCTGTGTGCTTGGGGATGGGGGGCCGGCTCTGGATAAGGACAAAGGGACCTGTCCTGTCATCAGAGCTAAGCCGGCTCCATGCCGCCCTCCAAAGGTGGCTTCAGAAACGCCAGATTCCAGCGACGACTGCTCTGAGGGCCGGGCCTGCACCCCCGGCTGGGCTGGTGGATCCTCACTCAGGCCCAGCCAGCGACACGACAACGCCCCAGAGCTGAGGGCTGGGTGGATGGGGGGGGGAGGGTGCAGCCTGAGAGTGGGGTCCTGCTGGGCCACGACCCCTCTGTGCAGGCAGCGCCTGCTGCGTCCTACGTCCAGGTAACAGGCCCCTCTGGTTGGGGGAGAGGGTCACCTTGAGAGCCCGGGGGGAGGTCGTACCGAAGCTCCCAGCTCCAACCCACTCCCAAAATAAGCCAGTAATCACCAGCGCCACGGCTCTCCAAACCCACCCCTGAATGCAATCACAGCCAACAACAGCTGTAACTCGGTTCAGAAGGGGCCAGAGGGAGAGGAGAGAGTGGGAAGCAAGCTGTTCCCTGAATCCCTATGTAGCTGCTTTCAGCTCCAGCAGCAGCAGCAGCAGCAGCGACAGCCAAGGGCCCAGGCGACAGTGCAAGCACGCGCCCCCACCCAACGCCCTGAGGAGCGAGGGAGGCCGGCCTGACAGCCAGCCGGTGTGGGGGCCTGGGATGCCATAAAGAGACTGCGACGAGCCTGTGTCCACAGTCCCAGGGCCTGCAGGATGGGGCCCCCGGGGCTGGCAGGTTGACCCCTGCAGCTCCAGCCGCTCTCTCCTCCACTCCCGGGACAGGCATTTCATCAACCACTCTTGCCCTGCGAGCCTGACTGGGCCTCGGGATCCTTCTGGACGCTGGCTGGAGCCAGCACAGATGAGCTCCACCTGCTGCCTGGGGAGGGTCCTGTCCCTCACCTTCCAGTGGGGAGCCTGAGCGTCAGGCAGGTCCCACCTAGGTGCCCCCTCGGGGCCTCAGTCCAGGTTCAGAATAAGCCAGGGTCCCAGTTTCCAAACCCCTCACCAGGGGCTGGGGTGAGGCCAGCCTGGCTGGGGTCACGGATCCTCAAAGTGAGCCTGGCCAGAGACCCCAGGAGTCTCAAACACAGCATGCGCCTGGCCCCAACAGGGGCACTGGGCAGAGCCCGTCAGGCTGTTCTGCTCCGGAGGGCGGGGTTCAGACAGCCTGGCAATTATGTCCCACCAGGGGTGGGGGGCAGTTCTGCCCCGTCGCCCCCTCCTTGCTGGGGGAACCAGAAACTCTCAGTGGGTGGCAAGGTGGGTGCCTGCTCAGCCCCCTGCAGTGGCCCATGGTGACCACCCAAGCCTGTCCTCAGCCACCTCCCACTGGGCTCAGGGCGCTGGTCCAGCGTCAGGGGACAAGCTCATGGTCTGCACTCCATGACGGGCAGTGGACACAGAGCAGAGTTGGGGGCGTGCAGGTGGGGGCCGGTGAGCCAGAACCCTGAAGACCTGCAGAGTCCAAACCCACCAAGAGGCGGTAGTGGCCTGCACACGCACGCACACACACAGCACACATGCTCATGTGAACACACATGCATGTGCACGCGCACACACAGTCTTTTAGGAGACACTCTTGAGATCAGACTGCGTGACTTGACCAGTGAGGAGCCAGAACAGTGAAAACTGACCACAGAGCCAGCCCCACACCCTCAGGCTCTCAGAGCCTGGAATGTTTCTGGAACCCCGGCAGCCAGGCCAGGGGAGGCCCTTCCACAGACAGGGCTCCTGGGGCACAGGTGAGGGCCTGACCAAAGCTCTGCTCCACCCGAGGCCTGAGGGCAGGACTCCCTCAGACACGCCCCCTCTCTGCACAGGGTTTTCAGGAAGCCCACAGGGGAGGAGAGGACACGGGGGTCCTGAGGATGGCGGTCTAGGGGCACCCACCTGGACCTCCCCCAGCCCCCTCCCAGCTCCTCTTGGCTCCCCCGGGGCAGGGTTCCTGATGACGCCGGCTCAGCTCCACCTCTTGCCCACGCCTGCTGCTGCTACCTGTGCTGCAATGACTCACTGAGCCAGCAGGGAACAGAACGTCCTGGCTGCAGGGGTGGAGGCACAAGCAGGCGCTGGGCAGCTGGGGCAGGGGGCTCTGAGCCCACACTCAGGAGGTCCTCCTCTCCTGGAGGGCAGAGACCCCTCTGCCCCTAGAGCACTCACTGGGGGGACCACCGAGGGCCTGGAGCCCACTGTCTCTGGAAGGGGTCGAGCAGCATGAGCCCCTGGTGGGCCCAGGTCAGAGAGAGGTACCCACCCTCACTGTGGCTGAAAGGCGGTGGGACACAGGGCAGGGTCAGCCCCACCAGACCACAGGAGTGAGGGCCACCCCCTGCCGTAACCCAGCCCTTCCCCAGAGCCTGGGGGTCAGGAGCAGCTGGGGCTGGAGCTGTGCCCACCTGGAGGCAATCCAGCACCCAGAAGCCAGGTGGCCTTTGCCCCAGGGCCTCCAATGGGCCCCCTGCACAGGGAGTGCAGAGGCCGCCAGCAGCAAAGGTCCTTGAGGCGCTCCGGCCTGGAAAAGAGGCACCAACCAGGATCTCCCCGGATGGACCCCCCCCAAGGGCCACAAGGCCCCCAGCCCAGACCAGCCACACGGGCACAAAGAGTTGGGACCCAAGACCACCTCTCCGGGGAGCGGGCCCAGGACACAGAGCTCTCAGAACTCAGTCTACAGCCTCCCCACCACGCCGCCCACGGTCCCCGGGCCCCAGGGCTGGCTTATTTAGGGATCCCACAAGACCCAGAACATCACAGAAGCAAAACCCCAGGCAGGTGCCTGCGCCCTGAACGGAAGTGGTGCCATCCGCCCAGTGAGTCGCACTAATTACACACGAGTCCTCCTCCGGGAAAATCGCCTTCTCTCTTTAATATGCAGCCTCCACTCGAATCACAGCACAGCTGCAACCCAAACCCAAAATAAAACAGCAGAACACGTGGCACAAGGCCCCAGCCGCC